CGAACTTACAGCCTCGTTATCCGTAAAGAGACGATTATTTTGGGAGTAGTTGTTAACCTAAACATATACTCCTTATAAGCTTTTTGCCAGCAACAAACAGAAATTTTGTGGTTTAGAAGAACTGATCTTGACATAACAGGTTATAGTCATAGGTAAAACATTGTGCCAGAAAAGGAGGATAAGCTACCATAATCCAATGAAGGATTTTGGAGAAAGTGTACTAGTAATAGTTATAATAGTAAATCAAGAACTTCACACCTCCATAGCGAGAACCGTGAACCTTTGTGTATATTTTTGAAAGGATATGTTTTCATTTAAGCAACTACACTGTGGACTCGTGGAAAGAAGTGACCAAATAGTGAAAAAATAATAGTTTAAAAGGAATCTCAGGGATAGGCCAAGGTACCTGTCCTATACTTGCTGCTGCCATTGGTTCGTAGTCAAAACTCTTTAGCTTAGTTGACCAATCAGGGCCTAACTCAGTATCAAGAACTTTATTGAGTTGGCTCCTAGGCATCACATCTGCACCCTGACGAACAATGTCCAAAGCAGCCAAGATCTACAATCACGCATGAAATTTCGTTATCATACTGCCATAGCATCACCAAGGAAGTAAGAGCATGAAAAGAAAATAATAAACTCCAGCAAGAGAACAATGCCACAACAAAAGCAACAACAACAACAACAACTCAGTAGAATCCCACAACAAAATAAACAGAGGCAGTAAATGGCAATTTTGATGTATTTATTAAAATGTTGAAAACCTACTGCTCCACTCTGTCAAACAAAAAATATAGTACAACTCCACAAATTTACAGCAGTTGTATTTTAGTTTATTGTTTATCCAAAAATTATTCACCTGAAAATTGGAAGTAATTCCACAGGAAGGAAAAGTATAATTGAGTGTATCTTTTAATATGTGTTTCCTTTTGAAGTCATGTATAGTACTCAGCATCATTTTTATTAGGTGGGGAGTCAAATTTTAATGCTTGATCTTTAGTGTCCACTCATCAGCCATCCCATTTTCCTATTGACTTCTACGACATCTTCATATTCTTCCTTTTCCCTGTTACTTTTTCATCCACTTACACTTGTATATTGCCTAGTAGTTAAATAACTAAGTCACTCTCGAACTCAAAAGTAGCCATCTTAAACAAGTACACAGTACACTCAATAACTGCCTCATGATCATTTGGATTGTTTAGCCATATATAAACATGGTGTGGGGAAGGAAAGGAAGAGTTGTGCTATCGTAGTCCTAAGGTCCACATGTGTAATGTGGGCCTTCTCACATATTTTTTATGGACTCATAGTTGGATCTCTCTCGTTTTACAAGGCCCAATACATTTAATCATTTCATGTCTCAAGGTCCATAAAATAAGTACGGATCTAAGGACCACAAGAGAATTTTCTGGAAAAGGAAAATTTGTTTGAGAGAATAGAAATTGCATCTAACAGAGTGTCCTGATTTCTACCCCAGCTGCACGAAATTTCCCACAAGTAAAACTCAATAGAATTGACCCTTGTATTTATAGTCCTGTCCTGTTACACCCAATCCACATTCATTGAATGATGTAAATATTGAAACTACAGTGATAGAATGAATATGAACCAGTACCGGAGCAGGTACAATAGATTCATCTTGGATGCTCAACATCTGTCCCAATTTAAGAGCTGCTCCACGCATGCGGCACAATGCAAGAGCCAAACGTTCTGCATTTTTTTCGGACAAGTAAGGAGAAAGAGCATGTTGATTGTCCTTTGAAGTTGGGGAACCAAAGATAAGTCGCTTCGTGGATTCTTGAAGGGTGCCCCATGCAAGTCCAGCCCCAAGGCCTGCAAATCTTCAAATGAAACGGGAAAATAGATCAAACAACAATAAAAATTGAGCCAGCGCAAGCAATTTGCATGAAGGAGCTACCCAAATTTGGGTAACCAGCTTAATCCTCCGTGAAGAGATTTCACTCAGGTTTTCTTATTTTCTCTTTCCCTTCTCATATTTTTGTATCATGTCCACTACAAACACATTACATTGGAACCTAATTGGGAGGTTATTATCCCAAATGACAGTTGCTCAATCTACTTGGCAATGGTAGTGATAATGATGTGAAATCAGGGAAGTCTCACCCAAGCGCTCTAGAAAGAGGAGTAGAAGGCACCCTCCTCTCCCTAGGTTTCCTCATCTGCCTCTTGATCTCTGTTCGGGAAGTAGGGGCACCAGCTGTAAGATTTCGTTGGGTAGACGGCGCGTCCTCTAGAGGAGAGGGGTGAGGATCACCGCCAACTGATGTACCAGCAGGTGTCTGTAAAGGCGGAGACACCTCTTCATTGGCAAACTCCGAATCCTTGGTGATGCTGACGTCATTGGAATCGGGAGAAGGGTTTTGATCCAGCTGGGGTGAACTATCCCCGAAATACACGACGCTTTGTCTGGTCGCGTTGAGATTAGAATCGGAATTAGGATCAATATCTGAGGCGGCGGCGGCGGCGATGGAAGTGGTACGAGCATCTTCGAAACGCCGAAACCTGCCTTTGGTGAGGCCGGTCAGATCGGTGGCGGAGAGAAGAGTTGTCTTGATCAGGCTTTGCAAATCCGCCCCGTCATTGAGCAGTTGGCGTCGAGCAGCCTCTTTGGCCACAAGGGACAGCCCATTCACCACCCTAGCCAAGTTCTTGACCAGCAACTGCATATCTAACGGTCACCCCCACTGCTCATATCGCTTTGCCTTCGCCAACCACGGACGGAAGCTCTGTTCGCTTATTCCAAGGGGGGGGTAAGGCTCAGGGGGGGTAAGCTCTGTTCGCTTCTTTATTTTTAACAACCACAGTCCAAGTTTTTCTCTTTTTTTGATTCTATTGGATTGTTGTTGTTATTTAGATTCTTCATTTTAAATAATTGAATACTCATTTACAAGTATAATCAAATTTTAGAAACATGAGTATTCAGTTACTCTAAAATGAATATTTTGTTACCTGAAAATGAGTATTCAATTGCTCGCAAATGAATACTTAATATGGATGTACGAGAAGTATTATACAACCGGTTGTATGAAATATATTGAGGCGTCGGGCACATCTCAATCAACTGCAAAGGCTGGCATTGCTGGGAACCTATAGAGCAGAGATTTTAATGGTAAGGTGAGATTTGTCATGTTATAGCATATTTTGCGATTTCTCTCTTCCACCAACCCTGGGATCAAAGTATGGGAAAACTGGGGGTGGGGTTCTACTTTTTTTTTTGTTCGGTGGTGTATTATACTCCCTCCCATAAAAAGTATATTAGCGGTTTTATGAGAAATATTTACAGTCAAATATTTTTTATGATCTGAAAGCAGTGTCGATCAACGATGTTAGGAGAAGAGCAACACACAAGGGCAGAGCGAGAGAGGAGCCATGGAGAATGACGTCGGAATCCCAGCCCCGGCTCTTAGCTGCTCAAATCTCTTACGGACTTTTCCAACTTCGAAAACTTGCTGCTCAAATCTCTTACGGAATCGCCACACGTCATCTTTCAGTTCTTCGAGTATAACTTCAGGAAAAACTTTGATCTTTGTAGGAATTTTCGGAAGAAGAACACTGTGGAGCAGTGTTGATGAAGAACTCGATAGTATAACAAATCATGTATAAATACTTTCAGATCAAAGTTATTTCGGGATATACGAAATACTTCAATCGGATAAGACGTTAATCAAGAACAAGCAAAAGAAATCAGATCCCTCAACCCATACCACGAGACTCTATTTATAGAGTCGAAAGTTCATGACCAGACATGAACGTTCGCGTAACACGTACGTTCGCGCGGAGAGGAAGAAATGCGCAAGAAGAGAGCATTTCAACGAAAGGTCTCCTGCGGTTTTAGAGAAATTCGACGTTTATCCACTCGTTCGAGTCCATTATTATTTTGGACTCCGATCACAATAATCTTAAGGATTTTCATAAAGGAAAAATGTCTGAAATAAAAAATTACCCCGGCCAGGGGCTCTGCCCCTTGGACCCTGCTAGGGGCTACCGTCCCTTGGACCCAACCACCCAGGGCCTGCCGCCCCTGGACCCCGATTGTAAATTTGTAATATCATTGAACGAGCGTGCACTCCGTGCCTCCTAACTCGTTTGACATTGTCTATTTAAATTCTTGTCCGATCTAAGTAAATCCAATCATACAAAATAACCGATGACACTAAAATCACCACAACCCGCATCATCAGCACCTTCCTCCGCTATCTGTTGCCTCAGCCTGAATCTGTACCTGTTTCTCAAACACAACTATCAATCTCCCTGCCCGGAATTGAGAAGTAAAATGTAGTCTACTCCACCAGCCTCTGCATGGTTCGTGGGTGGAGAACCTACAGCAGTAGTGGTTGCTATAGTTGTTTAGGGTGGCGGTGGCAAGGGATATTCAGCTAGGCTAGCTCTTGGGGGAGGAAGAAGAAAAACAAGAAAAAAGAAAAGAAAAAGGACCAAAAAAAGAAAAGAAAAGGGAAAAGAAGAAACAAAATCAAAATGTTGAGTTGGGAATATTTGGAATCTTTTAAATGTTTGTTGGGCACTCGACACATAATGGAAACAAAATCATAATAGAAATTAAATTATTATATCAAAAAACGCAAATTCTAAGTAATTTAATATTTTCACACGATATCTTTGGGAGTATTTGGAATCTTCTAGATGTTTGTTAGACGTTCGATACATATTTTTTATGTAAAATTAAACCGAACAGAACACTAACCTTCCGTTCGATTTTGGCTTTGTGTAAAAACCAAACTTAAAAACCAAACTCAACCCTACATATTTTGCTTCATCGAGTAAGTATTTTTATAATTATTTAATGCTTATATTACTTTTATAACCCGAAAAGAACCGAAATAAAAACCGCATAAAACCAACTGAATAACCAATGCTATACATATTTTTATATAAAACCGAACCATCATCAACTTCTCTTCCGTTTATCCTTGATTTTAGAGAAAAATCGTATCAAAACTTTTTCGCATAACGAGAGGGAAAAAAAGAGAGACACCACGTCATCCATCACGTTAAATCTAACTGCCGCCCGCCGTCCCGACTAGATGAGCTGTTCCACACTGTACAAGTGCCATTGGCTTCCGCCTTGGCCCCCCACCCCAACTCTTCCCTCTCTCTCTCTACGTACTACGCAGTACCTGTCTGTGTCTATCTATTTTTGGACATGGTTTTCTTCTTCAACTTTGCTTCCTCCCTTCTGGTTCACCCCCCTTAACCCCATTTCCCCTCCATAGACAAACAAGTTCTCTCCAAATCAAGCGGTTCAAATTCTCCCTTTCCTCTCCTAAGCTCCCAACCAAAATATGCCTGCTTGGTGGGGAAGGAAGTCCTCCAAGAACAGCCCCAAAACCCAACAGCCCGATTCTCCGTCCACCGTCAAGAATAATGATGATAAGAGAACGGCCGCCACAGCTGCCGCGGGCGAGAAGGAGCCGCAGCCACCCAATATTAGCTCCGATGAGGTGGTCTCTGGAACCGTAGTACTAGCGAGGAAATCGCCTAGAAGTAGCAGAGAGTTCTCTAGTGGTAGAGGGTCGTCTTCTGGATCTTCCGGTTTTGATTCAGCTTCCTCTTTGGACCGAGCGCTTCCGCTGCCGAAGCCGACTTTCTCAAATGGACATGGAGTTGGATTGGGATCTGGGTCCGAGTCCGGATCCAGCGTTAGCTCTTCTGGCTCATGTGAGGATCAGCCTTACTCCGCTTCTTTCAGGTTGATTACTCTATTTTGTGCTTGGTATTAATAGCATTAAGCTATTTGTACACCAAAATTTGTATCCCAAAGACATGCACCGACATTTTGTACTTGTTAAATGTTAGTATGATGATTTACATTGGCTAAAAATGTCATTGTAAATTTTTTTAATTGAACTAATATTTTCTGTTCGTGTGAACCGTTAAAATGTCTGTACATTTCCTTGGGGTACACGCACTTTGGGTGTACCCCTAGCATGGTTGTAACTAATACTACCTTCGTATAAGAGTATTTGTTACTTTTTTCAGTCAATCGTTTTTTAACTTTGATCTATACAATAACAACAAAGCATTATCCTACTATAATTAAATAAAATTTATATTATTTATTAATTAGATAAAATAATATTTTGAAAAATATTTTATTTAATAAATCTAATTAAAATATTTTTATATAAATATTTAATATCATTTTTTATGTAATTTGGGTCAAAGTTTATCAAGTTTGACCGAAAAAAGTGACAAATACTCCGGGACGGAGGCAGTACTACGTAGTAAGTAGTGATTATTGTTTCCCTAACTTGGGTGATGTGTTTGGATATCTAGTTTTAAACGGAATGGGTTGGAGTGGAGTGCCAGTGGAATGTGTTAAAGTTACCATTCCATTGTTTAGATATTTTATGACGGATAGAACAACATGAAAGCCAGGGGTAGCCCATACCAGTTCATAGGCAACTACCTGCGACTTTGTAAACTACTCCCACCTTCCCATAATAGTTATACACAACTTACAAGTAGTTAAAGGAAAATGTTATTGTAGAGAGTAAACAGCTTGTGGTTGAAATTTATGCAAAGGAGATGGGAATTTTCTGAATAATATGTTTTTTTCCTTGAAACATTTTTTTGGGGATGGATGGAAATGGAAAGTGAGATCATTATTGCGGGATTGTGGGATTAATTAACTCATGAGGCGAAATGATGAAATTTCCATAAATGTTGAAGTGTCTTATTTGATTGGTAGATAAACCTAAAGCATTCACAGTAATTGGCATGAAACTTTATCAAGTAATGGCTGTTTGGTTCTATTGGTAGACTGCATCTAGACTAAAATAGTGGGTAAACTTAAAATTTCTGGCAGAGGAGCTGGAGACAATAAGTTCAGACAGCTATCTCGAAGCCCGGTTAGATCAAGAGCATCCACTACCACACCTTCACCGCGACATCTGCGATTTTCCAGTAGTAGTTTGGACTCCCCGACAGGGAAGTTGGATGATGGGAAGAGTGAATGTCATCCCTTGCCTCTTCCGCCTGGTTCTCCGACCAGCCCTTCCTCTTTGCCAAATCTAAGAACTCCCGTCACCGAATGCTCAACTGGTAATTTGTCACAATGGAAGAAAGGCAGGCTCCTAGGTCGAGGCACATTTGGCCATGTCTATCTTGGATTCAGCAAGTGATTATTCTTTTCCTTTCATTTGGTTTCAATTTCATCATGCCAATCCTTCAATGTACTATATCAATTAACAGATAGCTGCATTATTATTATTTGCAGTGAGAATGGACAAATGTGTGCCATTAAAGAAGTCAAAGTTGTTGCAGATGACCAGACATCCAAAGAATGCCTTAAGCAATTGAACCAGGTATGCATTATCTCTTACGTATACTGATAAGAAGTGTGTGTGTGTGTGTCATGAAGAAGCCATGCTGGCATGGCTTCTTGCCTTTATGCAGTTCTGTCATTGTTGCTACATTTCTTACCAAATGTGTTTCTTACAAACTAAGCCTTTCTTACAGGAAATTATGTTGCTAAGGCAGTTTTCCCATGCAAACATTGTCCAATACTATGGAAGTGAATTGGTATGCCCCGTGATTACAATGTAATGTAGTTGACCACTGAAATTGCACGCTAGGATCTCTTTATATGGTATGTTTTGTCCGACAGTGATTAAAGAAACTTTCTCACGGACACTTTTTGGTGATTTTCCCTTAGGGTGAAGAAATGCTATCAGTTTACTTGGAGTATGTTTCTGGAGGATCTATCCATAAATTGTTGCAAGAATATGGGCCATTCAAGGAGCCCGTTATTCAGAACTACGTGAGGCAAATTCTATATGGCCTTGCATACCTGCACACAAGAAATACCGTGCATAGGTCAATATGGAGGACTTGTTAATGAAGTTGTGTTGTGTTATAACTAGTCTTCAAAATTGCAGCTTTTAAAGTGGCTTTGCTTTTCCACAGAGATATCAAAGGAGCAAATATATTAGTCGAGCCTAATGGTGAAATCAAACTTGCAGATTTTGGCATGGCTAAGCATGTAGGTATCAACTTAATTTATGTGTAGGATTTGTGGCTTTTGTGCATTATCCTACCCAATCATTTTGTGTAAGTGTTGCCATTCAAAGCATGCTACTCCAGCTACTGCAAGGCTGATTTAGCCTTTTAAATGACAGAGTTCATTAATATTTTTTCATTGACCTGAGATCCCATGCTGATACTTGTACAACATTTGTAATACTCCTTCCATCCCATTAAGGAGTCATTATTTAATTTGTTCATTTTTTTGTCCTAAATAAGAGTCATACTTTATTAAATGTGACTAGGTTTACACAACTTCTAAGAATTCTACCTTTTCAAAATGTAAAAGCTCTACATTCCTTAAATAGGATTTGTTTTTTGGGAAGGATGGAATACTTTTTGCATTTCAATTCATAAAGCATCATAATTTTTTGTCATTGGGAGTCACATATTGTTAGAAAGTTACTTTCTATTTGTGAAAGATTGCTCCTTTCCGATATTCTAAGTATCTGGTGCACTCTTGATATGCCGAGGCTCTTGCCTTGGCAATTTTGGATCTATTTTTATTACTTACTCATTCCATCCCAATTTAAACTTCAATGTTTGACTTTACATAGTTAAAAAAGTGTTGAAATGTGAAAAGTTCAAAAGTATGATTGAAATTTCTTTAGAGGAGAAAGGAAGATTCTGACCCACATATTTCATTCCTTAATTGGGAATGGGAGAAGTCCCGAATTTTATTTTGGGACAGCCTTCAAAAATGTGAAGTTTTTTTCGAGACAGGGAGTATTTGTCTTTCCTTTTGAGGGTCGTCTCTTTTTTACAGTAGGGTGGGGGGGGTGTCTTATCATTTTTTAAAATACGTAAGCCTAAGTTCTTGTTCTGATATAATTGCAGTATTCATCGTCTGAATTTTCTCTCCTAAATTACTTCTTACCAGATTAATTCTTATTCTTCAATGCTATCTTTCAAAGGAAGCCCTTATTGGATGGCACCTGAGGTATACCTATGTTTCCCTTCACCTACTGCTAAACCATTCGGACATAATTTATTTTGCCATGTTCTTGTTTGAATTTCGGTCCAACACCTGTTATCTACTTTCAGATAGTCATGAATACAAATGGCTACAGCCTTGCAGTGGATATATGGAGCTTAGGGTGTACGATTCTTGAAATGGCAACATCAAAGCCGCCTTGGAGCCAATATGAAGGGGTTAGATTCAGAACAATGAACTCATCATTTCGGGTTTGTGTTGAAGAATAAATCCTCAAATTTTGCCACTTTCTTTTACATGACAGGTTGCTGCCATATTTAAAATCGGAAACAGCAAAGATATGCCTGAAATTCCCGATCACCTATCCAATGATGCCAAAAGTTTTATAAGGTTATGTTTGCAGCGAGAGCCATCTGCACGTCCTACCGCAGCACAGCTTCTAGAACATCCTTTTATTACAGACCAAAAGGCTGCAAGAGGATTAATCCCTGAAATCAATGTAAATAAGGATACTCATTCTGGCCTCTTTGATGGAAACCGCACCCAGGTAAAATTATCTGGTTGCAATTTCACATTATTTTGGGATTATGGGTGTTATATGGTTATAGTACAATCATTGCTGCTTTTCTTCAACCCCAAGATGTTAAGCCTTCTGAGACTTTTTTTTTTGCATTTGGTTTTTATTTAATTTTGCACAGCTAGCCATCGATCTACATCCCAGCCGGAGCAACATGAGGTCTCTTGAGGCCTCAAATTATTTAACGAGACCAGTTCTAACCGTTTCTAGAGCCATTATCAGCTCAAGGTACTGACAATGATAGAAATAAACTTTGGTAGTACTAATATTCAATTATTTACAGTTATCCTACTGCATTTTTTCTTCTACAGGGATACTACAAAAAGTATAACATCTTTGCCAGTATCTCCCTGTTCAAGCCCTCTGAGACAACATGAACCAGCACGCCGGAGCTGCTATCTCTCCCCACAACACTCATCGTATCCTGTCACGGGCCAAAGTGGGTATAATACAAATGACTACTCAATATTTGCAACACGGCCGAATCCTAGAAGTATACTGGACCCATGGCTTGGGACACATCAATTTAGTGCTCATACAACACCTGGAAGATCCTCAAAAACTAGACCCATTCTTTAGACTGATCTCAATTATAGAATGAAGAGGATCTTCGGCTGCCCAGATAAGTTTGGTGGTGCCTATAGAATCGAAGTGGGCGTGTGCAGTCTCCTATTTATGACCTGCTAAATGGTGGTTGTGTGTGGTGGTTTTTCCTCGGAAATTGGCATGTCGAAATTGTACTATAGGCGATGGTTTCGGCTAATCATGCCTCCATGATGCCTGTTGGTTGTAATCTTAAAAAGCTCTCCCCCCCCCCCTTCTTTCTTGAATTCAAATGTAAATGAAATGAGTAATCCTTGTGAGTAATCCTTGTTTATTTAGATGTGTTAAGGCTATGTGTAGTGCCTCACCATCTCCTTGGCTTGACCCTCTGTAGAATTGACATGTAAGCAAGTTTCACGTACGAACACCCCCCCCCCTTCTCGGCGGCTTCTCGTGAGCGCTGCGCGTGTAGAGCGTGCTGGATACGGCCCGCAGGTATTTTTTTTAATACTTTTTTTTCATTTAATTTATTTTTCAACGACAAAACCTATTTTGTTCATTACTTTTTATACGTAATTCAATATTTCCAAAACTGTTCTGGAAATATTCAGAATTAAATCTTTAATTTAAATATTTAATTTGTTATTTTGGAAAAACTGTTTTGGTAATTACTAGAATTTCCGAAACTAATTTTATAAAATTACATAATTAATGTTTAAATTATGGAAAATTAATACTCCCTCCGTCCCCCATTTTTTGTCCACTTTTGACTTTTGGAACTGTTCATCTAAGCACTTTGACTCATCAAATTCTCTCAATGTGTAAGCCTAAATATAGTCATATGTGATCTTGTTTGATTTGTCTTAACATATAGATTATTAATATATAATTTCCATAATTTTTTAATATACAAATTACAAGATAAAATGGATTAAAGAAGTGCATTGGATGATATGTAAAAATAAAAGTGGACAAATACTCTGGGACGGAGGAAGTATTTGGTAATAATATTATAATATTCTAAGAATACAAATTTTTTGAATTATTATGATGTACAAAAACTAATTTTAGAAATTGTTTTTATGAATTACCAAATAATAACTGTAAAGTACCGAAAATAAAATTCAAGAAAAATCTGAAAATTTGATTTTCAGATTGTATATGAGTAAAAAAATTTATTTTTGGAAAACACGGATTTTTGGAATATTTGGAATATTCTAAATTAATTTTGGAAATTAATTTAACTCTTTTGAAAATAATTTCAATAATACCGAAAATAAAATTTAATTAAATCTGGAAATTTTATTTTCAGAGTGAATCTGATCCGAAATATTTAATTTTGGAAATTATGGATTTTGGAATATTTGAAATTAATTTTGAGCATTAAATTCGAGTCTTATACGATTAAATACAGAATTTTGAAAAATGAAATTTTATAAATTCTGAAGATTTGATTTTCAGACTTATAAAATCAAAATACACATTCTGGAATTTATATATTAATTTTCAAATAGTATAAGTATTCATTTCAAATTAAAAACCTAATTTCAAAATTAATACGTATACTTACGGCAATAATATATTTTAAAATTAAGGAGAATTCAAAATTAAATTTTGGATATTCTGGAGTTTTTGAAATAAATTTAAATAAAATTATTTGATAATTTTTAGGCTTGTAGTTTATTTTTCTTAGAATAAACTAGGTCTTGGTGAGCGCGACTTGCCCGGTGTATGGATTTTTATGCATGTTATGTCTGAAGGTTTGCATGGTGCATGGTTATGGCTTAGAATGTGTGGTTTTTAAATACGGCCTTCGTGTCGTGCCTGATCTCTAAATTCTGGTTGTAAATCTGTTCTTAAACCTCATACCCCTTGGTTACAAACGAAGGATTCTTTTCTCCCGATTAAATAAAGAAGTTTATGAAGAAGCAAGGAAGATGAAGGAGCCAAGAAGAGGAGAACATTAGCAAGATGGGTTGAACTTGAAGGCTGAAGCATTCTTAAAGAAAGAGGGTGAAGTTGGAGATAAAGATCTTAAGTGAAGGCTTTATCGTTAGTTTCTTTAAGATGCCACAACCATGTCATGTTTTATTCATTATACATGTTTATATGTTTGAATGTATGCTTGAATGATGTTCGCTAGTGTATTTGCGCGGCACATACCATAGTTGAGACCGCGTTTAAAATCCCTCATAATATTAAGTTTGTCCCTTCCGACGCCTACTCACTTGTCATTACTAGTTTTGACCAGTCAACGGACACGCCAAAGCAGGACGCCTGGTTAACATTGGTATGGCTCAAAATCCGTAACAATGGATACTGAGTACACTCCGGGTTGGACTTAACTAAGTTAAGGTAAAATGATGAATAACTTAGAGGCACATGGTTAGGTTAATAAATAAAATCAAATTAATCTAGCCTAAAGTTGTAAAATGTTACAATTGAAAATAGTTACTACCTGAAATAATTTAACTATAAGGCAAGATGCAAAACACAACTATAGTTAGATGAAATAAGAATCTAGGCCCAATATAGGATTTTATTTAGAAGAACCTAGCAAACCAAGGATTGTAATTGGATTATAATTGGAAATAAGTTCATATCTAATTAGTTTAACTATAGGGCAAGATGCAAAACACAACTATAGTTAAATGTAATATGGACCTTGGCCCACTAAGATATCTCTTTAGAAGAAGTCTCGAATCAACAAGTTACATACTTGAGGGTAGTTGATTTGTTAAAACAGTGAGAGAGTTTTTAATTAAAGACTTAATTAATTACTTAAATTCTTGATAATGTCTATTTTGCAACTCATCTATAGTAATATAACATAGTTTTGTGAATTACATGTGACTCCTAATATCAAACCACAAAATTGAGAAAGCGTTCTCAAATTTTAAAAATAAGTTGTATGTCTTCGAGGAATAAAAATGTTCCAGAAACATTAAAAATTTAGAATAAATCATGCTCACTTTAATGACATCTCCGGTTAGAGCACTGGAAATGGGATTCACGCCCGCCGGCGTGAACGGGCGTTTAACGCCCTGGGGGCGTGAAACACCGCCCCCCTTCGGCATTATTTGGGCGTGATCCGGCGTGCGTCAAAGGAATGACGCTGCGTGATCCTCCCAACGGCTCTCCCAACGGCTTTTTTAGCCGTTCCCCCCCCCCAATTAAAAAAAATTCAAAATTTAAAAAAAAACCTATAAATTCCCCTAAAAATATCATTCTCTCACACATCTCTCTCTCACATCTCTCTTCATATTCTCTCTAAAATATTCATTATTTATTATAAATCTTTAAAAAATATATTTTAAAAATGGGTTCATCTTCCGACGATGAAAGAAGAGCTTTATTTTTTCGTTGTTTCGCGCGACGAATTGTATTCAATGGTGGGAAGATGGCCAAGAATTTTTCGTTGTATTCAATGGAAAAATTGTCCCACTGCGTGGCACGGTCAATTCTCCCGGGGAGATCATCCCAAGCCTACCATCATGCTCGAAGCTGTTGCTTCGAATGACTTGTGGATTTGGCATGCTTTTTTCGGTGTCGCGGGCTCGAACAACGACATCAACGTTCTCGATCAATCGCCTGTTTTTTACGATTGGGTAAATGAGACCGCACCGGACTCCTCTTTTGAGCTTAGAGGGACGCTTTACAAGTGTGGATATTATTTGGCCGATGGAATATATCCGGATTATTCCACGATTGTCAAATCTCTCTCCGAACCAATGGGTCTTAAACGCCAAACCTACAAAAAAGCTCAAGAGGCGGTGAGAAAAGATATTGAACGAGCCTTTGGGGTCTTGAAAGCTAAGTGGCACATTCTAGATCGTCCGTCGAAATGTTATTCTCAGACAAAAATGAGGAATATCATGTACGCATGTATTATTCTTGTTAAATATATTATTGTTAAATATATTATTTATATTTAATTATTCTTGTATTATAGTGTTACCATAATTGTATTACCTTCCTACTATGTCTCTCCTACCATAATTAGGATTGAGACCCCTTGTATAAATACACATGTAATTCACACAAATCATCAAGGAAAATATTCTTTCTACATGGTATCAGAGCCAATTAAACCCTAAACCTAAAACCTTCCCAGCGCCGTATCTCTCTTCTTCGGCCCTCTCTCGCCGATCTCTCCCTCTCGCTGCTCTGCACTGCCGGCAACCCGTCTCCCTCTTTCCACCATGGCTGACAAAGCTGAAAGTGCGATCACCTCTCAAGACAACACCTCCAAATCTCCTCACCTTGCCTTCACCACCATCTCCAACGTGAAACTCCACGTTCCTATTCAACTCAGTTTCTCACAACCCAATTACAAAAAGTGGAGTCGATTGTTTCTCCTCCTAGTTCGGCGCTTCAACCTCCATAGGTATCTCGACGGCTCCGTCGTCCCCATCTCTCAGGACGACGATGAATGGTTTCAACTGGACGCTCTTCTCCAGGGTTGGATCCTCTCTACCATCACCGACGAAGTTTCGGATCTTGTCATCTCCTCCACCACTTTTGCAGCTTATCTCTGGAAGGTCATTCACGATCTCTTTCATGACAACAAACACGCTCGTGCCATGCAACTCGAGCACCAATTCCGCACCACCATCAAAGGCAACACCCCCATGGCTACCTACTGTCAGACTCTCTTCAACATCGCCGATTGGCTAGACGATGTTGATGCACCGGTATCACAGCACCAACTCGTCCTTCAGATGCTACGAGGGCTCCTAGAGGATCTCCAGGCTCAGACTTCTTTTCTTCAATTCCAGGACCCGTTGCCTACATTCCTCCAAGCCCGTTCGGCTCTTCTTTTGTTGGAACGGCAACGAACATCGCTGGACAATCATGGATCGTCGGCCCTCGTAGCACGCTCGGGCAGTTCTCCCCACTCCGGGGGTTATGGCGGCAGTCACCAGTCGACGGGCAGCAGCTTCTCCGGCGGGTCCCAGGGCAGTTTTGGCAGCGGCAACGGGGATGGCTCCTCTGGGCAGTGCAGCGGCTATGGACGGGGTCACGGACGTGGCGGTGGAAACCGGGGACGAGGTCGAGGTCGTAGTGGCTCAAACGGATCGCGGCAACGACCACCCAACGACAGCTACCATACTTGGAACTCACCACACCCGAACCNACAACCTACCCTGCCAACGAAACCCTTAACCCTACCGCCTTAGCCCATCACTTTGACACAATGTCCCTCCGCGAGCCTACTTGGTTTATGGATACCGGTGCCTCTCATCACATCTCGTCTGACCAGGTACTATTTCTCATGTCTCTTCTAAAACTTTAAATTCACCATTATATATCACTGTCGGCAATGGATCTAAAGTACGCACTACGGCTGTTGGTAGCCACACCCTCCCCACTGAACCCCCCCTTTTTCTTAAAAATGTTTTAGTCTCTCCCCAAATCACCCACAATCTTATCTCTGTTCGTCAATTTACTCGCGAAAATAACTGCTCTGTTGAATTTGATGCTCATGGTTTTTCTGTGAAGGATCGTCGAACGGGAATCGTGATGCATCGGTCCAATAATGCAGGCCCCCTCTACCCCGTCGGCCAACCCGCTCCTGCCCATGCCTATGTCACCGCTGTCGATTCTCAAACTTGGCACCGGCGTCTAGGCCATCCCAGTCCATCAGTTCTCCGTGGCGTCTCGCATCTTCTTCCACCTTTTTCAAATTATTTACATACTTTATGTCATGCGTGTCAATTGGGAAAGCATGTGCGCCTCCCATTTTATAATTCTAGTCGAGTCTCTTATTTTATAATTCTAGTCGAGTCACTGGTTTTAAATTTTATATGATATTATTAGATGATTTTTCTCATTACTTATGGGTTTTTCCGCTACGACATAAAAGTGATGCCACCTCACATATAAACGCCTTTGTTGCTTATGTGAAAAATCATTTTAATACTACAATTAAAACAATACAATGTGACAATGGAACTGAATATCGCAACTCTCCACTCAAAAACATTTTTGACTCCTTAGGCATTTTATTTCGATTTTCCTGCCCCCATACGAGTCAACAGAACGGTCGGGCCGAGCGCACACTTCGTACCCTCAACAACACTGTCCGAACCCTTCTCTTCCAAGCCCAACTCCCTCCCGAATTCTGGGTTGAAGCCCTTCACATGGCGGCCCACCTCTTCAACATTACCCCCACGACCACGCTAAACAATGCCATCCCTCACATCATCCTCTATCGCACCCCTCCCGATTACTCTCACCTGCGCGTTTTTGGCTGTCTTTGTTACCCCAACCTCGCCGCAACGACACCTCACAAACTTGCACCCCGCTCCGCCCGTTGCGTTTTCCTTGGCTACCCGACAAACCAACGCGGCTTCCGTTGTCTTAATCTTGACACCAACAAAATCATCATATCCCGCCATGTCATCTTTGACGAATCCTCATTCCCATTCGCCAATCCGACTAACAACCACGACCTTAGTTTCCTTGACGACACGGAGAACGACATCCCGTTACCCTCTCTACACCTCCCGGCCCAACACCCAAGCCAGCCCCCCA